GAGAGAGAGAGAGAGAGACAGAGTGTGAGCAGCAGAGGGACAGAGAGAGAAAGGGAGACAGAGTTCGATGCAGGCTCCAGGCTCTGAGCTGTCAGCACAGAGCCTGACATGGGTCTCGAATCCACCAACCGTGGGATCATGACCTGAGCTGAAGTCAGACGCTCAACTGACTGAGCTGCCCAGGCGCCCCCATCCTGTTTTCTATCAAAACGTAGGAATCCTTGGTACCAGAGACAGCTCAAGAGATCTTCATATTTGTCAGGAAACCACCTGATGTGTGTAGGCTCTTTTAAGACTCTGTCTTCCTAATAATACGTTAATTTGGTTATCTTTTCCAGGTTCATATTGAGATCCATTGAAGGCCTTCTGCTGACTGACAAAGGCAGGTCATCAGGATACCACACCAGAAAACACGCAGCATGAGGGACAGAGTGGGGGCTCTGGGCACCTGCCCCGGGAAGGTGAAGGGGGCAGGAGGGGACTCAGACAAGTTGCCGTGTGGACTTGAAGGAGCACAGGGGGAGAGCCCTTGCCCGTCCTCCCAGATGCACATGCCTGTGGATGACGTAGATGGAACTTCAAAAAATGAGGAGTTGTCACCAGAAGTGAAAAATGCTCTGAGTGAGGTCAGCCTCTCGCTTCATAGTGGCAACAAAGCTCTTCCGTATTTGAAAGAATCATTAAGAAGAAGTTCAGCTCCCGCGGCGGCCCAGAGCAAGACTGTGGATCTGTCCTGTGCTCCTGCGGGAGAGCATTGTGCTGGGGTGTCGTGTTGGGGTGGGGGAGCTCTGGCGAGGGGCTGGTCGGGAGGAGGGCCCAGGGCCAGCGACAGCCACAGAGGATGGTGCCACAAAGGAGAGCCTTGGGGGCCAGGACTACCGTGCCTTCAGAAACGGTCAGAAATGGGGATTTCTGAGGAGGACCTGCCAAGTGCTCTTCTAGAGGGGCGAGGCTCCGAGTCGGAACTGTCTTGCCTGCATCTCGTCCGGTCGACACTGCTGAGCGCACGCCCCGAAGTACTCCTGACTGATGAGACAGAATGTGTTTTCCTTGGCTGTTCAAAGCCCGCGTTTTCAGAGCAAACAGAATACAAGAAAACGCTCTCACGTGTACGAAGTCTCTCAGCCGATCTGCAGACAACAGCAGGGTTGCTGGCTCTACCAGCTTTGGAGGTAGCGAATCCGTTTGGCCGTAGTTAAGGTGCGAGCACAACAATAAAAGTAGTGAGATTAATTTTAAAAGCTGTCTTAGAATGATTTCTTCGACACTGGTCTGGATGCCTGTTACGGGGCAGTGAGGTTCCTGCCTCAGTTGGTGTGAGCAAAGGAAGTGGAATTGAAAGTCCTGGGAAGTTGTTGATGCGGGAGGAGATTTTTTAGCCTGCTTTGAATTGTGCTCAAAACACATTGAGTATTGGGCTGCCACTTCAAGGAGAACATTAATACATCCCGTATCAATATCAGGTTAGAACGTGAAGACTTAACGGAATTCTTTATGGATCTTCAGCACTCATTGCCAAGGGCTACTGCCCCAGGTACTGTGTCCCCAGGCCGTCTGCTCGGCTGCTGTTTGTACAAGCCAGCCCCTCCGTAGTTGACAGCTGTCCCCGTTTCCGCATTCTGTAGAATAATTTTGGGCTGCAGCACAATTTGACTTCTATCCTCACGTCTCCTCTCCTTCCACTGGAAACGCCATTTAAATGGAGGCCCTACAGTGAACGTTGCAATATTAAATGTACTTTTAGTATAGTCCTTTCTCAAACTGGGAGCCCTACCAGTGTCGCCTAAAATAAAAGCAAGCTTGGGACTTGTCTGCTGCAGCTCAGCTGGGGAGAGACGGACCTAGTGTTTCCCTTACAAGAAGGTTCCAGTTCCTAGGAGTGGAGGTATCTCTTATACTAACGTTTTTTCTGAGGTAACGCCTCTGGTTGTTGATAACTTCGATAAAGGTCACTTCAGAGCGTGGAGTTTTTAAGGAGTCCCAAAGTGAGACTTCACCGTTTTCGGGGCTATCAATTGCCTGTATCCGTTTGTGTGCTGTTTCAGTGTTTTGGGAAAGTGAAAAATGAAAACTTGTTACTTAGCATAATAAATGTCTTATTTTAAGTGTGTACAGCCTTGGCTCCTCTTGTCTTTTATCAACGCTGCCTTCCTCGTACTGAGAAGTCTCTTGGCGCCAGTCCAGGTATGCTGCTGGTTTAGAAGACCAGAAGCAAAGCCTGAAAAACCGAGAAGCCAGGTCGGAACTCAGCTCTCACTTTCCTCCCAGGATATAGCGAGAGGTGCTGTGATTCTCTGGGGCGGTGCTCACCACGATCACGGCCAGGCTGAAGGATGGTTGGGGCAGTGAAAACCCTGGTCAGAGGACCCCTGTTTGGGGTCAGTGATGGATGGTGAGGCGACACAGGGAAATGTTTTACAATGGGAACTGTTTTCTTGTCAAGCCCTCCCCTGCACCCTACCTTTGTTTTAAACTACGTTTCCTCCTTTGGGACAGAACTTTCCATGACCCATCGACTGTTTTATTTCCTTTGTTTTATAAGTTACAAGTGTATACATTTTCAACCAATTGCAAAGAACAAATCTGGAATTCTCTATTTAGTACCAGATGCTAGGTTAATAAATTTGGAATATCTGGGGCACCTGGGTGGTTCAGTCAGTTGAGCATCTGCCCGGCTCAGGTTATGATCTCGTGGTTTGTGAGTTAGAACCCTGCATCGGACTCCCTGCTATCAGCGTGGAACCCGCTTCGGATCCTCTGCCCCACTTTTTCTTTGTTTGCCCCTCCTCCGTTCTGTGCTCACTCAG